CAACACCTTTTCTAAAGTGAACCACGCTTCTTTTGAAGTAGTTGCCCTGACAATCTTCTCAAAGCCCGACTCGTCAATAGCCTAGAATAGCATGTATAGTGCCGCCTTATCCTTTGATCGTAATTCTTTTAATGCCTTGTTTTGTGCCACCCTATAACCCGAGGTTCCTTTAGTTCTTTAAAACCTTCTTCGATCACCTCCCATGCGTCTTGAGAATCGAGAAGAGCTTTCATTTGGATGCTCCAATTCTTATAGTTCGTCTTCGTTAATCGCGGTAACGGCATTTGACCCATCATATTCGTCATCGGCTCTGATACCAATTTGTTGAAATAAAAGCTCGCTCTGATACTAATTGTTAAAATAGCACTCACGATACTGTTAAGAAGATGTCGATAGGAGAGAGACAAGGAGACAAGAAATTCTGAAAAACCCTTTTTCTATTACAGTGTATTTAAATGAGACAATTTCTCTATGCTTGCTTTGCTTTTTTTCTAAAGGGTTAAATTAGCTATTTGTCATCATTTTCTAACCTACTATTCCTGAAATAGTTATTGGCCTCTCATTTTTTGCTCCAAGTCTGTAATTTCTTCCTCCATTGCCTACTGTCAAGCCGATTTTTTTTTAATAAACATTAAATGTTATATTTAGTTATTTTTAGCGGGTTTTAAATTCAAAAGTTAGTGGAAAAGTCTAAGAGTGTTCAAAAGTTTCATGGCTCAGGAAATAGTGGCATTCTTATGGCTATAATTAGTTTTAGAATAGCATCTGAATGCTTCTAAATACATGGTTCTTTCGATTGTGAAGAAGCAGACAGAAAAAAGAAAAAAAAAATATAGACGTAATGGAAGACGGTTTTTCACATAAACAGAGTTTTTTATTTTTTTTTATTTTTTCTTTTTTTTTTCTCTCCACTCTCAAAAGAAAAAAAATAGTGTGCATGAAATTTCTTTCACAAATTGGTAGCGGTGGAAGTCGTGGTCGTGGAAATCGTGGAAATGGTCGCGGTGGTCAAGATAGCAGTCATGAAAGATACTATAAGAAGAAGGGACAGTCGAGCAAATAAAATTGGCATGGAAGAGGACACAATCGAGGAAGAGGTGGCAGAGCAATTTATTCCAACATTCAGTGCTACAAATGTAACAAATTTTTTCACTATGCGAATGATTGTAACTCCGAAAAATGTTACACTTGTGGTAAAGTGGGGAATTTTGCAAAAGATGTCGAGCCGATAAAAATGTGGAAGAAACAACCAACCTAGCATTGGAAGATGTAACAAATGAAGGTCTTCTCTTGATGACGCAAAACGAAGATAACATCAACAACGACACTCTGTGATACCTTGACTCAGGGGCAAGCAAAAATATGTGTGGTCACGAGTACCTATTCAAAGAGATGCAAAATATTGAAGATGGTCATGTGTCATTTGGAGATGCTTTAAAGGTGGAGGTCAAAGGCCTGTTAGATAAAACATGATTTTTTCTATTTAGATTCACACGATTACATTCATTCTCCGTTTGACCATTTGACAAACACGTCGAATGGATTAACTAAGTTTTAGACGGCAATTTAGTAGGAAGTGGCACAAATTCAGTTGGCCACTCTCGATCCATTTTTAGGATAGGTTATATTTAAATAGAAAATCTGTTCACAATATTTTCACAACCTGAATTAAAGGCGCAGTCAAAATTTCATCATTCTCTCTCTTTCTTATTTTACGCATTTTATTTTTCTTCCAACAATCTGTTGTCGACAATTTCCTCTCACCGAAAAGAATGGATTTCCCGGCCGATTATTGAAATACAACAAGTGGTATCAGAGCCCGGTTGAAGCCATCGGTGTATATCATTGCAGAGGAGCCAACCTATTAACAATCAAGTTGAATAGCTCAAGTGGCTAGAGCGTTGACCTAACAACACACAGGTCTCAGGTTCGAGTAGAAGAAAATGCAAAGCGCAAAAATAAAAACACATTGTGGGGTTCATCTCGAGCAGCTGCGGAATGAGCTCTCCAAGATCCGCTTTAACTGAAGGAGGAGTCAGCTGCGGAATGAGCTCTCCAAGATCCGTCAGCTGCGGAATGAGCTCTCCAAGATCCGCTTTAACTGAAGGAGGAGTGAATGTTTGCTCAAATCAGTGAAAGAGGTGAGCAATTTTCACAACCTGAATTAAAGGCGCAGTCAAAATTTCATCATTCTCTCTCTTTCTTATTTTACGCATTTTATTTTTCTTCCAACAATCTGTTGTCGACAATTTCCTCTCACCGAAAAGAATGGATTTCCCGGCCGATTATTGAAATACAACAAGTGGTATCAGAGCCCGGTTGAAGCCATCGGTGTATATCATTGCAGAGGAGCCAACCTATTAACAATCAAGTTGAATAGCTCAAGTGGCTAGAGCGTTGACCTAACAACACACAGGTCTCAGGTTCGAGTAGAAGAAAATGCAAAGCGCAAAAATAAAAACACATTGTGGGGTTCATCTCGAGCAGCTGCGGAATGAGCTCTCCAAGATCCGCTTTAACTGAAGGAGGAGTCAGCTGCGGAATGAGCTCTCCAAGATCCGTCAGCTGCGGAATGAGCTCTCCAAGATCCGCTTTAACTGAAGGAGGAGTGAATGTTTGCTCAAATCAGTGAAAGAGGTGAGCAATTTTCACAACCTGAATTAAAGGCGCAGTCAAAATTTCATCATTCTCTCTCTTTCTTATTTTACGCATTTTATTTTTCTTCTAACAACCCGTTGTCGACAATTTCCTCCCACCGAAAAGAAAGGATTTCCCAGCCGATTATTAAAATACAACAAGGCCGAGGTACGATACATTTCTTGCAAAGGGATGGTTTAATAGGGTCAATCCAAGATGTTTATTACATACCAGACCTCAAGACCAACATATTGAGTATGGGGCAACTCACAAAGAAAGGTTACTCGATATTCTTAAAAGACCGCCTGCTACATCGGAAGAACAAGCAAGGATGTTTGGTTGCTTGAGTCGAGATTGGAAGAAATCGGATGTACAAACTGAATTTAAGAAGCATACGAGAAAATGGTTTGCTAGTCGACGTAGAAGACAAGGCATCACTGTGGCATCTCCCCTTTGGTCACCTACATCATGGCGACCTAAAAGAGTTAGTGAGGAAGAATATGGTGTACGTGCTACCCAACATGGACTACGAAGAAAAATTTTGTGAAGCATGCGAGAACCTTAATTCAAAATAAGGCTGAATTTTGGGCTAAACAATCTCTCGAGTTGATTCATACAGATATACGTGGACCAATTACCCCCGAGTCTTTCAGCGGTAAAAGGTATTTCATTTCCTTTATCAATGATTACTCACAAAAAACTTGGGTTTAGGTTTTGAAAGAAAAATTCGAGGCATTCGAGGTGTTTAAAAATTTCAAAGTGATGGTGGAGAAGGCAACTGGTAGACATATCAAAGCTATACGACCCGATAGAGGTGATGAGTATACTTCAATGACTTTCATGGAGTATTGCAAGGAGCAATGCCTAAGACGATTTCTAACCGCATCGTACACCCCTCAACAACATGGTGTGGCTGAGAGAAAAAATAGACCATTCTCGACATGGTTCGGTCAATGCTCAAGAGCAAAAGGATGCCAAAGGAATTTTGGGAAGAAGTCGTGCAATGCGCCATCTATGTGACAAATCGATGTCCACATGCGAAGTTAGATGATCAAACACCACAAGAGGCTTGGAGCGGACAAAAGTCCACAATTTCTCATTTCAAAGTATTCAGTAGTGTGGCTTATGCTCAAGTACCAGATCAACGAAGAGCGAAGATCGAAGACAAAAGCAAAAGGTATATTTTTATTGGGTATGATGAGAGGACAAAAAGATACAAGCTACTTGACCCGATAAGCAAGATGGTGATGGTGAGTCGTGATATGCGAGTAAATGAGCAAGCGAATGGGACTAGAACAATTCAACGGAAGTTAATATTGAAGTTGGAGAATCATCAGTCGTTGCACCAAGAAGTATACCAACAAACTCAGAAATGTTCGATGATGAAGATGAACCACGACAACCTAAAATATGAAGTTTGCGAGACTTGTATGATTCAACAAATGAGGTACACCTTGTATGTCTTCTGGCGGATGCTGAAAATATAAGCTTTGAAGAGGCAGTGTGAGACAAGAAGTGGCAAACTGCCATGGATGAGAAGATTAAAGCGATTTATCGCAACAATACATGAGAGTTAACAAAATTACTGGAAGAAAGTCAGTCCATTGGTATTAAGTAGGTGTTCAAGAAAAAGATGAATGCTCAAGACAAGATAGAGCAGTACAAGGTGCGACTTGTTGCGAAGGGATACATAAAAGGCGGGAATCGACTATAACGAAGTGTTTGCTCCCGTTGCAAGAATGGAGACAATCCGATTGCTCATTTTCCAAGCGGCTCAATTCAAATGGCCGATATTTCAAATGGATATCAAGTCTATTAAAATAACACTCACTAATATGTGAAGTAACTCTCACACACACTAACAATCATACGCTCCGATACTCTTTGGCCTTTTCCTACTAAAAAATAGAAACAAGCCTTCATCATTTAGGTTTATTCCAAAAAAACTTCCCCATAAATGTAAATGCTATATTCAACGATTCTACCTACGTCGTTTTCGTTTTCTCGAGCTCAGTCTTAGTTTTTTCAATTTCCTCTCCTTGTCCTCGAGCGGCAAACTAAGCTTGTCCTTTTCTGACGAGTCTTCATTTGGAGCTTCTCGAGAACAACCCATTTGAGACACCAACTCCTCATTTCTCCCATTCTCAGCCACTCTCGACTTAGACATCATAGCTTCTTTCAATTTACTCAATTCCCTTCGCAAGTCCACAACGATATTTTCCACTTCCAATTTTGCTTCCTCCATTTTGGCTTTGTCACGAGTGATTATCTCAATCGTGTGTCATAAATTAACTGCCTTTTGTTGGACTCGATTCAGGTTCTCTATATCTTTCTCCTCGCTCACTAGCTCTTCCACTAGAGCATCACAACAAGTCCTCTTTCTCCACAGCTTTTTCAATTTTCTTCTCAAGTTCAGAGATTACCTTCCCATTCTCTTCCTTCTCCTGTTTGAGATAAAAAGAACCCTCACTGATCTCAGCCACTTCCTTCTCTAATCTTTCAATCTTCATTTCTAAATCTTTCTTTTCTTCTTCCATTTTCTCTTCCATTCTCATCATCTTTCCTCTTTCTTCCTCAAATTGCTTTTCTTGCCATTGGAGCTCTCTCTCTTCGAGCTCGGGCTCTCTATTATCCCATTGTTCATCCTTCTTCGATTTTCTCGTCTTCGCTATCAAGATTTCACCAAATCCACTGCATATCACCTCATTTTCAACAATTTCCACTACCTCATGACTATTGCAATCGTCTTTCGCGTCGCCGTGTTCTTTTGTTTTCAGCTCTTCATTTTGGGCCATCACGAGAATGCCTCCGTTTGTTGCGTCATCCAAGGCTAGGTTGGTTGTTTCTTCCATCTTTTGCTCGGCTCGACAATCTCTTGCAAAATGACTCATTCTGCCACAATTGTAACATTTGTTGGAGTTACAATTAATCGCATAGTGGCCATATTTTTTACATTTATAACACGGGATGTTGGAATTATATCCTTTACCGCTTCCTTGATGGCGTCCTCTTCCATGCCAATTTGCTTGGCTCGACTGTCTCTTCTCCTTATAATTTTCTTCATTTCTGCTGTCTTGATCACCTCGACCATTCCCACGACTTCGTCGACCTCTATCTTGAACATTATGAGAGTAGAGTACCTTTTCATCTTTTATTGATGCCTTGGTCTGAAGCGCTTGACCGAGTGTCTCCTCCTTCTTCTTCTTACGTTGCTCATGTGCCTCGAGAGAACCGACGAGCTCATCAACTGTGAACTTCGCTACGTCCTTTGACTCTTCTATCACACATACAACATTCTCGAAGTTGTCGGTTAACGACCTCAAGATCTTCTCCACAACCCGTGTCTCGGGTAACATTTTTTCGTTTCGATTTAGTTGATTTAGCACGGTCTGTACGCGCGAAATGTAGTTAGATACATTTTCTGACTCCTTCATCTTCATGCTCTCCAACTCGCCACGAAGAGTTTGGAGATGCACTTGCTTGACTCGATCAATTCCTTTGAACACCTTTTCTAAAGTGTCCCACACTTCTTTTGAAGTAGTTGCCCTTACAATCTTCTCAAAGCCCACAGCTCGGAACAGCATGTATAATGTCGCCTTATCCTTTGATCGTAATTTTTTTAACGCCTTGTTTTGTGCCGCCGTATAACCCATGGTATCCTTTGGTTCTTTGAAACCTTCTTCAACCACCTCCCATGCGTCTTGAGAACCAAAAAGAGCTTTCATTTGGATGCTCCAATTCTCGTAGTTCGTCTTCGTTAATCGCGGTAGCAGCATTTGACCCATCATATTCACCATTGACTCTAATACCAATTTGTTAAAATAACACTCACTAATCTGTGAAGTAACTCTCACACACACTAACAAGCAAACGCTCTGGTACCGCTTTGTGAAAGTACTACTCGTGTACTTGTGAAGCAGATGTCGAGAAGGGAGATACGAGGAGACGAAGAGTACTGAAAGAAACCTTTTTCTATTGCTCTATACTTTTTTTTTCTCTAAACTTTTCTTTGCTCTGCTTTTACAATGGAAAACAAACGTATTTATAAGCTTTCTAAAACTAATTATGGCTATCCCATAAAACCCTCTATTTCCTAAAATAAATCTTGGTCTTTCATTTTTTAACGCTTTGGTCTTTTCCTTTACGACTGAGTTTCAAAACCCACTAAAATTAACTAGAAAATAGAAACTACCCTTCATCATTTAGGTTTATTCCAACAAAGTCTACCTCGAACAACCACCAGGGTACATGAAAATTAGAGAAGAGAAGAAGGTACTAAAATTGAAGTAGGCGCTTTACGGGTTGAAGCAAGCACCGCGAACATGGAATACTCGTATCGATACATATTTTAAGGAGAACGAGTACAAGCAATGTCCCCACGAGCATGCATTTTACACAAAGAAGAGTGGAGGTAATGTGATACTTGTTTCTCTTTATGTCGATGACCTCATTTTTTTGGTAACAATGATGCGATGATAGAAGAGTTTAAAAGCACAATGACACAAGAATTTGAGATGACAGATTTAGGCTTGTTGAAGTTTTTCCTTGGTTTGGAGGTTAAACAAGGAGAGACGAGTATTTTTATATCACAGGAGGCACATGCAAAGGAGATTTTGAAGAAGTATAAGATGGAAAACTTCAACCCGGTATCAATACCAATGGAACCAGGTGCAAAACTCTCAAAGTACGATGAAAGAAAACAAATAGATGCAAATAGGTATCGGAGTTTGGTAGGAAGCCTTCGCTATCTTACATGCACAAGGCCAGATTTTTCATTAAGTGTCAGCATTATAAGCTGGTTCATGGAGGAGCCGATTTATTCACATTGGAAGGCGTTGACGAGAGCCCTACAGTACATCCAAGGAACAGTGTCACTTGGGTTATTGTACTCGAAAACAGAAGATTACAAGTTGGTTAGTTACTCTGACAGTGATTGGTGCGGAGACATAGACGATCAAAAAAGTACGAGTTATGTATTCTTTATGGGCAACACAGCATTTACTTGGCTTTCAAAGAAACAACCGATCGTGACACTCTAGACGTGTGAAGCTGAATATGTGGCAGCATCTTGGTGTGTGTGTCACGCAATATGGCTTAGAAATTTGTTGAGCAAGATGGAGCTAAAGCAACTAGGTGCAACCGTGATTCAAGTTGACAACAAATGAGCAATTGAGTTGGCAAAGAACCTAGTGAACCATGAAAGAAGCAAACACATTGACGTTCATTTCCACTTTATCCGAGATCATGTGAAGGAAGGAAGTGTGGAATTACTGCATGTGGCAAGTTAGGATCAAGTTGCGGATATCTTTATAAAACCGCTATGAAAGTATTTTTCGACAAATACAAGAAGATGATTGACATGACAGATGGTAGGATTATTTAAGTTTATGGGGGAGTTTTGTTGAATAAACATTAAATGTTATTTTTGGTGGATTTTAAATTCAAAAGTTAGTGGTAAGGGAAAAGGCTAAGAGTGTTAAAGATGAAAGACCAAGAGTCTTCCTAGGAAATCTCTTATAGCTTATAAAATAGTGACATTCTTATGACTATAATTAGTTTTAGAAGAGCATCTAAATATGCTTATAAAAATATTATTCTTTCCATTGAGAAGAAGCAGAGAGAGAAAAAAAAAAAAGTTTTTTTTTTGTCTGCACTCTCAAAAGAAAAATAATGTGCGTGAGATTTCTTTCACAATTTCGTGATGTTTCTCCATACGTTTCTGGCTCTTTAACTTTGTATTCTACAATAGTTGCATTGACAACTTTGGATTTAACCTCTAGATTCTTTCTGATTGTCTAAGTTGTTGAGGTGTCATTTTCTTTTCACAAGGTGCGCTTGGTTGAGTCGCTTCTTGGTCACCAACATCAGTGTCACTTGAATATTCAAACACATCAACACTTGAGCAAATGTATGCAATTTGCTCCCCCATCTTCTGTGGAAGAATTTCTTCTGTTTGCTCTCTAGTCTTCTATGGAAGAATTTCTTCAGTTTGCTCTCCCGTCTTCTGTGGAAGAAGTTCTCCAGGTTGCTCTCCTGCCTTTCTGTGGAAGAAGTCTCTTCAGTGTTGTTCAAGCCTGGTATTTTAGGAGACTTTTGGTAGAAGAAAAAATCTGTCAAAAGCAATGTGGCATCCTCCAACATGAAGATGGAGGAGGAAAGGGATGCAAAGGTACTATATGCTATAGAAGAAGACCAGCTAGCACTCCTGGCAACGATGGGAGACCATATCAATTATGAGAATGACTAGATCGTTGATTCAGGATGTTCAAACCACATGACTGGTGATCAGAGAAAACTACAAGACAAGAAAGAGTACAAAGGAAGCCGTATGGTATGCACAGCAAATAACACATAGTTGTCAATTGCTCAGATTGACAATACGACAATCATGCCTTGCAATAAATCTAATACAGTGTCACTACATAATGTTTAACATGTACCGGGTATAAAGAAGAACTTGTTGTCAGTGTCACAACTAACAACATCAGGAAATTACGTCTTGTTTGGGCCAGAAGATGTAAAAGTCTATCAAGATGTTAAAATAATAGGAAAGTCGACAATAGAAGGGCGAAAAGTGGAGTCTGTTTACGTTCTATCTGCAGAGTCTGCCTATGTTGACAAGACTAGAAAGAATGAAACGACAGATCTATGGCATGCAAGATTGGGACATGTTAGCTACCATAAGTTGAAGCCGATTATGGAGAAATCCATGCTCTAATACCAGATTGTTGAACACAACTCTCTAATCCATGCTCTAATACCAGATTGTTGAACACAACTCTCTAATCCATGCTCTAATACCAGATTGTTGAACACAACTCTCTAATCCATGCTCTGATACCAGATTGTTGAACACAACTCTCTGTGAGAAACACTCGCACACTTTATTAAGACCAATCGAGAAGATAATACAAGACACTTTGTAGAATACTACTACTTTGTAATGTTTGGTATTTCTTGGGATGAAAAACTAGGTAAGGTGGAGGGGTATTTATACTATATCTACGCAATCTAGATCTAACAAATCTAAATATTTTTTTCTAAAATACCGAGATCTCTTTTCCTACAATATCTTGTATCTTTTCTAACATCTTTGCTAAAATAAATATAAAATGAGCTCGTACAATTATTGGGTTTGACTCTATTGGGCTAGTGATGATATTTTTACCCTCATTCACTTGAAGTGCATTTTCTTCCTTCCTTTCTCTGATCTATTGATTCTTGACTCATGAGCTTGAAGTGGACCCATCGATTTATCAACAAAAAATATTGATAGATTTTAGTTTCTTCTATAGCAGCCATCACTTGATCAAACTCTAGAGTTAAATTTTTCAACACATTTGCAACAATTGTTTCATCTAAAATTTTATCTATAAAGTCACACATTTGACTAACTATTGTCATTGCTCACAAATAAAAATAATAAAATAAAATAAAATAAAATAAAATAAACTACAATTTATTCACGGTTTGTCATGAGCAAAGTTTCAAAATCATATTTTAGAGATTGCAATTTTACTATTATGACATTTGAATCTCCTAGAAACTTCTTCCGTAGAATTGACTGTACTTGCTTTGATGGAGTTGGTGCTTCAATTCGTGAAAAGATAGTCTCATGAATTGCTTGGTGAATAATGAACAAAGTCTTGACATCCTTTTTCTTGGTTTCTCTCAGTTTTTCACTTTCTTTTCTTTTGTGTTCTAATACATCAACAAACTCATACTCTACCCAGTCTCATATTTCGTGCAATCTAAGCAAGGTCTTAATCTTCATGCTCCACCACTAATATTTCTCACCATTAAAAAATGGTATGAATGGTGCATAACAAGAAAAACTAGTTAATGCCATTTTCGTACCTTAGAATAATAATCACTCTCGTAATGACAAGAAGTTAGCTCCCATACCAAATTTGTTTGGAAAAAGATATTGAAAAGAGACGGTAGAAGATAAAATTAAATTAAAATTGCAAATGCTTTATTATTATTTTAGTCACTTCCAAAAAGAGTTACAAAGTTCCTTTACTAGGCTAATAGATTCACACACCCTAGTATTCAATGTAATTAAGACCGTTTCTATATTCTAAATTGTATCTATTTGCTTGTTTTGCAAAATTATAATTTCAAGGCATGCAAATATTATGGGAGAGAAACAATAATCGATACACTATTCACATTGTTCCTCTATTATTATTGTATAAATGATAGAATTATTACTTTAGATTTTTGGACAAAAATGTTGAGGGGTAAAGATTTTTTTTTTTACCAGGTAGTATATATATAGATGAACAATCAATTGTATCATATTTGTGTGACATTTGTGGTCCCATGGTCTAGTGGTTAGGACATTGGACTCTGAATCCAATAACCCGAGTTCAAATCTCGGTGGGACCTATTTTTTGTTTTTTTTTTGTTCCTAGTGGCAACACTAAAATAATAGTGACCGAGATTTTTCGTTAGGACATTTCAGAGTTTTCAAATTCAGACCGAGATTTTAATGGAGGTGCAAGCTCCCTCTAACAACGAATTTTTCATTAGGACATTTCAGAGTTCTCAAATTCAAATCCAGGCATACGTGAGTATTGAGCTCTAAATTTTTGGGTGTTTCATTCTTAAGTTTCTTCCAAATTTGAGAGTTGTAGTTCATCATTGGATCCCAAACTAATTCCTAAACGTTCTAAAAAGAATTGCCCACAACTTTCATTAAGAAATCGCGAGCCAAGAATGCCCAAATCTTATTCCCCCAATCTCACCCATCATTAACGCCTAAATAGGAAAGTGTAAAAATTCAATTTCGTGC